TACCCGATTAATCGGGTAGAAAGTCCGGTAAGAATACCACATCTGTTGGGTGGGGTAGACCAAGAAAAAACTCTTCCGCAAAGTATCGAATAGGAAGATGAAAGAGTATATTTCCTACCTGTAGGATAGGGTGAACACCCTTACTACCAAAGAACAAAACATATAGCAAATAAATTTTGACGTGACACTATTCAAGTTGAATATTTTCTTAGCTTAAGAAAGCTTAGTTTTGGGCGGGAACAGGCCAAAATGCCTACGCAACTTGATTGGTACTTGGAGCATATCCTTATAGATAAGCACAAATGCATCTCTCCTAGTCATGTATGAAGTTTTGATTCAGATGTAGCAACTCCTAGTCATATATGAAGTTTTGATTCATAAATAGTAAGTCCTAACAAGGATACATCCAACTATTTTACAATTATTTTGTTTAATTTGATGGTCCGATGGGACTAAAATCAATCGGACCAAGTTTTATTGGTGATTGTGTTAGAAAGGGCCCTCGCACCTCGTTTCGCCAAGGTTTAACTAAAGAATTTATTTAACCGAACCCAAATAGTTTAATTAAAGGTTTTAATGGGTTGATTTGTCTAGCCGACCCTAACTAATTAGGATAAAAGTTTTGTTGGATTGTAGTTTTATTACTGACGGTATTGATGTTATTAGAACGATTGTTACACAAACTAATGCAAGTTATTGTGACTAAACAAATTTTTTGTTACCCGTGTCCACTAGGATCAAGGATTAAATTTTTGTTTCAGTACATTATTTCGGTCATCAAAGAAATAAAAATGTTTTGATGTATTTCAAAAACGTTTCAACTCATTTTGAGAAACAGAACGAAAAAAATAAAAGATTTAAGAATGATTTTTCTAAAATATTAGTTAAAATATATCAAAATATCATAAATTATTCCGAGACAAATATGTAAAATGCATTGAAGCATTACAAAAAACATCAAAACATTGTGAAACATCTTAAAATATTAGAATTTTGATTCCATTACTGATTCGTTTCGATTTCCTTGAAAATAAAAACGTTTCAGACATTTTGAAACGTAATTTTGATTATTTATTAGGATGCAAATATAATTTCAATGTTTGGCTATTACTTCCAAAAACTATTAATTTAGAAGTACATTTAGCGAAAGAACCAACAAAGATTGTCAAAGCATTGGACACGAAACTAATAAACGATGAGTATAGATGTCGATAAATTTAACATGGTAAATTGAGGGAAAAAAACCATATATAATTTTGATGTTGGTCAACCTCTAATAGTATTATCTCTTGTTAATTAGCAACTTATACTCGAAGAATAAGCGAAAAAAGGTAGACATATGATGAGTATATTTTACTGGACCATATAATGAGATCTTCCCGTTATAGTCTTCTAAGTGGAAGAAAGATAAGAGAGAGGAAACTTCTTTCCTAGTTTAGAGATAATGCAAAAACGACACGTTTATTAAACGTGCTAAACATGTCAGGTTCAGATAACTCGTTCAATAATTAGGTCAAATTAGTGTTTACACATTTTGACAAAATTTTTAAACATGTCAAGTTTGAGTTTTGAAATTTTTGACACAAATTCAAAATCAACCCGACACAAAATGACCAAATCCGACAAGTTTGACATCCTTGGTATTACTTATCTTATTTTTCATCATTTCACTTGTTTATCGTATGAAACAAAGTATGATCAACGGTTCAAAGGTAGGAAACTCTGGTAATTACATACAGATATATATATATATATATAAACTAAAAAACCTCTAAACCCTAATCACAGACGGAGCAATTATGATTTTAATGTATTTCATATGGTTTAAAATTTAAACTTAAATTAATTATTATTGTATTTGTGTAATAATTATGGTGGATTGATGTTCATACTTTCTTGTGTTTTATTATAATTTTTGTTGTAGTTGTTTTAGATTTAGTGTTAATTGATTTATTGTGTTGTTAAATTGGTACATGTTATTTAATTAAATTGTTAAAGTGATCCAAAAAATAATTATTATAAAAATGTTTACCCGATTTCCTACCCGATTAATCGGGTAGAAAGTCCGGTAAGAATACCACATCTGTTGGGTGGGGTAGACCAAGAAAAAACTCTTCCGCAAAGTATCGAATAGGAAGATGAAAGAGTATATTTCCTACCTGTAGGATAGGGTGAACACCCTTACTACCAAAGAACAAAACATATAGCAAATAAATTTTGACGTGACACTATTCAAGTTGAATATTTTCTTAGCTTAAGAAAGCTTAGTTTTGGGCGGGAACAGGCCAAAATGCCTACGCAACTTGATTGGTACTTGGAGCATATCCTTATAGATAAGCACAAATGCATCTCTCCTAGTCATGTATGAAGTTTTGATTCAGATGTAGCAACTCCTAGTCATATATGAAGTTTTGATTCATAAATAGTAAGTCCTAACAAGGATACATCCAACTATTTTACAATTATTTTGTTTAATTTGATGGTCCGATGGGACTAAAATCAATCGGACCAAGTTTTATTGGTGATTGTGTTAGAAAGGGCCCTCGCACCTCGTTTCGCCAAGGTTTAACTAAAGAATTTATTTAACCGAACCCAAATAGTTTAATTAAAGGTTTTAATGGGTTGATTTGTCTAGCCGACCCTAACTAATTAGGATAAAAGTTTTGTTGGATTGTAGTTTTATTACTGACGGTATTGATGTTATTAGAACGATTGTTACACAAACTAATGCAAGTTATTGTGACTAAACAAATTTTTTGTTACCCGTGTCCACTAGGATCAAGGATTAAATTTTTGTTTCAGTACATTATTTCGGTCATCAAAGAAATAAAAATGTTTTGATGTATTTCAAAAACGTTTCAACTCATTTTGAGAAACAGAACGAAAAAAATAAAAGATTTAAGAATGATTTTTCTAAAATATTAGTTAAAATATATCAAAATATCATAAATTATTCCGAGACAAATATGTAAAATGCATTGAAGCATTACAAAAAACATCAAAACATTGTGAAACATCTTAAAATATTAGAATTTTGATTCCATTACTGATTCGTTTCGATTTCCTTGAAAATAAAAACGTTTCAGACATTTTGAAACGTAATTTTGATTATTTATTAGGATGCAAATATAATTTCAATGTTTGGCTATTACTTCCAAAAACTATTAATTTAGAAGTACATTTAGCGAAAGAACCAACAAAGATTGTCAAAGCATTGGACACGAAACTAATAAACGATGAGTATAGATGTCGATAAATTTAACATGGTAAATTGAGGGAAAAAAACCATATATAATTTTGATGTTGGTCAACCTCTAATAGTATTATCTCTTGTTAATTAGCAACTTATACTCGAAGAATAAGCGAAAAAAGGTAGACATATGATGAGTATATTTTACTGGACCATATAATGAGATCTTCCCGTTATAGTCTTCTAAGTGGAAGAAAGATAAGAGAGAGGAAACTTCTTTCCTAGTTTAGAGATAATGCAAAAACGACACGTTTATTAAACGTGCTAAACATGTCAGGTTCAGATAACTCGTTCAATAATTAGGTCAAATTAGTGTTTACACATTTTGACAAAATTTTTAAACATGTCAAGTTTGAGTTTTGAAATTTTTGACACAAATTCAAAATCAACCCGACACAAAATGACCAAATCCGACAAGTTTGACATCCTTGGTATTACTTATCTTATTTTTCATCATTTCACTTGTTTATCGTATGAAACAAAGTATGATCAACGGTTCAAAGGTAGGAAACTCTGGTAATTACATACAGATATATATATATATATATAAACTAAAAAACCTCTAAACCCTAATCACAGACGGAGCAATTATGATTTTAATGTATTTCATATGGTTTAAAATTTAAACTTAAATTAATTATTATTGTATTTGTGTAATAATTATGGTGGATTGATGTTCATACTTTCTTGTGTTTTATTATAATTTTTGTTGTAGTTGTTTTAGATTTAGTGTTAATTGATTTATTGTGTTGTTAAATTGGTACATGTTATTTAATTAAATTGTTAAAGTGATCCAAAAAATAATTATTATAAAAATGTTTACCCGATTTCCTACCCGATTAATCGGGTAGAAAGTCCGGTAAGAATACCACATCTGTTGGGTGGGGTAGACCAAGAAAAAACTCTTCCGCAAAGTATCGAATAGGAAGATGAAAGAGTATATTTCCTACCTGTAGGATAGGGTGAACACCCTTACTACCAAAGAACAAAACATATAGCAAATAAATTTTGACGTGACACTATTCAAGTTGAATATTTTCTTAGCTTAAGAAAGCTTAGTTTTGGGCGGGAACAGGCCAAAATGCCTACGCAACTTGATTGGTACTTGGAGCATATCCTTATAGATAAGCACAAATGCATCTCTCCTAGTCATGTATGAAGTTTTGATTCAGATGTAGCAACTCCTAGTCATATATGAAGTTTTGATTCATAAATAGTAAGTCCTAACAAGGATACATCCAACTATTTTACAATTATTTTGTTTAATTTGATGGTCCGATGGGACTAAAATCAATCGGACCAAGTTTTATTGGTGATTGTGTTAGAAAGGGCCCTCGCACCTCGTTTCGCCAAGGTTTAACTAAAGAATTTATTTAACCGAACCCAAATAGTTTAATTAAAGGTTTTAATGGGTTGATTTGTCTAGCCGACCCTAACTAATTAGGATAAAAGTTTTGTTGGATTGTAGTTTTATTACTGACGGTATTGATGTTATTAGAACGATTGTTACACAAACTAATGCAAGTTATTGTGACTAAACAAATTTTTTGTTACCCGTGTCCACTAGGATCAAGGATTAAATTTTTGTTTCAGTACATTATTTCGGTCATCAAAGAAATAAAAATGTTTTGATGTATTTCAAAAACGTTTCAACTCATTTTGAGAAACAGNAGTTCAATAGTCTATTCAAGTTCAAATCACACTTATTATTACATCGTATCAGACATGTATATTTAGCTTGCAACAAGGTGCGATCATACCAGGACTAATACACCGGATTTTATCAAAACTTCGCAGTTAAGCGTGTTTGGACGAGAATAGTACTAGGATGGATGACCTCCTGAAAAGTCCTCGTGTTGCACCACTTTTAAAATAAAAATTAAAAGTATATTTAGGTTGCAACAAAGTAGGAAGTGAAAGTGCAGTGTCAGCACATGTAAAGATGGTTAATATTCTCATTATCGTCCCATGGGGTCCAAAAGGTATTTCAGAATTTTAATTTACATAATTTCGGTGGCTATTATACGAAAAAAACACCACTGCAGAAAGGGTGCATAAGTCCTATTAGACCTCACAGGACTAGCTCGATCACATTTAATTAATACATTGTTTCATATTCATTTTGAGTGCAATAAAATGGAAAGTATATATATATAAATACATATACAAACTCAAAAAATATGATAATTATTAATGATGGGTTTGGCAGTGTTTTCGTTTTTATATTTTATGTTATAAAAAAAAAGCATAACTAATTTTTGTTTTTGCTGTGATAAAAATTAAAAATATAAAATATGTTTGGTAGTTATGAAGAAAAAAATAAAAAACATGTTTGGTATTATGGTTATTTTAGTTAATTTTTTAACCCATAGTAAGTTTTCCTCAAAAATACAATTAGGGATGCACCACCCAACCACTAAAAAACCACCACCCAACACTACCGAATAACCATCACCCAACACGACTAACACCCTTGAAAACCCACCACCAAACCCTCTGACAACTCATCACCCAATCACCCAAAAACTGTAAACATCATCAAAAACCCACTTACCCAACCCCCTAAAAACCCACCACCCTCGAAAATCTACTACCAAACTCTTTGAAAATTCACCACCCAATTACTCAAAAACCCACCACCAAACACACCAAAAAAACACCAACAATACCCCGAAAACCACCATCTAACCACTGAAAATTTACCACCAAAATCCCTCGATCGTTTTCCAACTGTGAGAGAGAGAGAGAGAAGATAGATGGAGCATTGGTTTGCAACACATGAGAGAGAGAGAGATACAAAAGAACATATGGTGGGGTTTAAACACTTCCACACAAAAAAATAAAATTTTTGTTGTTAATGAAGTTCAATGGATAGACCTCATTAAAGTTTCATTCTATCGTGCTCGTGTTTCCATTTTTTTTTGTTTTTGAAAACACTATTTTGGATGTTTGCATTTTTTGTCTTTATTATCAAAACAAAGCAACAAAATAAAAATATTCACAAAATGTGTTTTTATTTTTATAATTTCCAAAAATTGAAAAAAAACTTTAAAAAAAAAAACAGAAACACCCTGTTATCAAAATGCAAGCTAAAATTTTCATTGTTCCGTGTGAACCGAAAGTAACTCAGAAATCCACTTTGCATAAATATGGGTTCTATTATAGTGGGTGTGAATTCTATTTAAAAGAGGTTCAAATCATAAACGAATTATGTTATTATACCCGTTTAATAAACCAGTTGCCATAAATTTGTCTAAACATGACAGAACTTAACTAAAAAACGACTTACACAACACGGCACACATGACCTTGACAGTACATAACGACGGAAGAACTAAACATAACTACCAAATAGGGGTGTTCAAATTTTTGACCGGCCGTAAGTTTTTACCCTCCTTACTGAATGGCTAGTCGCAAAAATTAGCTAGGAATGTGGAATAATCATCCATTTCCGCATTCCTACCCTACCCTACCAGTAATAATTATATTATATATATATATATANACCTTGACAGTACATAACGACGGAAGAACTAAACATAACTACCAAATAGGGGTGTTCAAAATTTTGACCGGCCGTAAGTTTTTACCCTCCCTACTGAATGGCTAGTCGCAAAAATCAGCTAGGAATGTGAAATAGTCATCTATTTCCGCATTCCTACCCTACCCTACCAGTAATAATTATATTATATATATATATATAAACTAAAAAACCTCTAAACCCTAATCACAGACGGAACAATTATGATTTTAATGTATTTCATATGGTTTAAAATTTAAACTTAAATTAATTATTATTGTATTTGTGTAACAATTATGGTGGATTGATNTAAACTAAAAAACCTCTAAACCCTAATCACAGACGGAACAATTATGATTTTAATGTATTTCATATGGTTTAAAATTTAAACTTAAATTAATTATTATTGTATTTGTGTAACAATTATGGTGGATTGATGTTCATACTTTCTTGTGTTTTATTATAATTCTTGTTGTAGTTGTTTTAGATTTAGTGTTAATTGATTTATTGTGTTGTTAAATTGGTACATGTTATTTAATTAAATTGTTAAA